CAAACAAAACACCTAGTCCACTACTTGTTTCTGGAGAGAGACTGGTATGGATTATGGTAAAGTGGAGCTGCTGTGGTCAATCACGGCGTTGGGCACATTTGGCGCCAGCAGGACCCCTTTTTCCCTGAAAGGGGTCCACGTACGATCCCCACTCTCCACTACTTCCCCTCCCCTTCCAAAAATCGCAACTATAATGATGAAAATGAGACGTCATCGTAATTCCGGTCGAACCTGTTATTATCGGAAATCGGAACAGCCAGTGAAATGCTGGTTGTCAGAGGTTATTTGTATGCAAATTATGAGGCAAAATAATAATGTAAGACCACCGTAATACAAACGTTTCTCACCTGAAAAGCTTTGCTATTGCATCCAAGTTGATTGCTGAACTATCTCGATTACTGTCCATTTCAGTGATGCTTGTCGCCCGTCACGTGTGCACCCAAGACGCCACGGCAAACAACCTGCCCCTCTTCATGTCAGAGAGCCTGAGAGGACCCGGCGGAAACGGTGAGTTTCCCTATTTTGGCGAGCCTTCGCTTGATCTAGGAGTGACCGTGATTCAGCAAAGATCACGGTACGATTATTGAGGCAAAATAGCAAAATTGTAGCCTAAAACTCGACGTTATTTATTTATTTACTTGGTTGTTTATTATGTGCGCTCGAAAAGCGCGCTACAACAGAACTAGAACCGCATTTTCCACTACGAATATATTAGTAAAGTCGTGGAGTAGCTGCCAAGTTTCAGCACAGCTTCACTCTCGTAGTTGTTGCTGACTCTTTCAGATCTATCCAATATATACTGCCGGACGTTTATCGAAACGAATCGTCTCCGTACGAGATTCCACTGGATGTTGTGATCCCGGTCAATCGGACAGTTACCATTCGACCTGGTGTCGTGCTACGATTCGCAGACGGTGCAGGTTTCACAGTATATGGTAAGTTTTCGGAAGGAAATTGCCTAGTTCTCAATTGGATCGTTCCTAACTCTTTCCTCTTAACATATTATCACGAAAGTGTCATTGCAGGTGCTCTTATCGTAAACGGCACCAAGTCAGGGCCTGTCACATTTGAACCACAAGCGGGTCGATGGAAAGGAATAGAGATCGTAAACGGTAAGTTTCTGGTCAATTGACCACTGTTAATCTTAGTTCGCGGGATCGATTTCATAATGAGAAACCGATTAATGGGTTAAACTTTCATCCGAGGTCGCTGTTTGAGCTCCAAGCATATATGCTTATGGAGCGCGGATTTGCTGCTTCTTGAGAATAACACAGTGCAGTATGGAACTCAAGTTAATGCTGCATCCAATAACTTCTCACAAGTTTACACCAGACATTCTGTATGGTTGGTCGTTACAGTCCTCCTCAAAAACGTCGTAGTAGCTATAATTGATCTTCTACAACAAGCTAGGCTGTGAAGGGCGCAACATTTTTCAAAGCTGAGTGAGGTACAAACTTGGTGGTTGTAAAGTCCCCCTTTTTAGTGACATGTCCCTCCATGCCCAGGCGACACCCCTTGAATTTTATTCCTTAGCGCATATTCCAAATTTTGAGTGGTGCTATATTATGTTCTTTGAACATCTTTCGCAGTGAAAGTTTTACAGAAGGGTTGCTTGGAATTGCTTCTTTAGTGATAAGGTTGTTCTTTCTTGATGTAGAAAGCTGCCTTTTTGTATGCTATTAGCTAGCTCAATGATACAACAATTGGCAAAAAAGAGATTTGTGTTCAACCTCAATTTGTGGATTTCTACAACAGTGGAAAATTGGAATTTTCCGAGAGCGTTCCGAAGTTTCACCTTTGCGGGACGGGGAGATTTTTGCTTGGTTTGCAGCCATTAAGCATTTGTACGAGACAAATGATGTTTCAGCAGTTTCCGCATTGTGTTCTCATTGATTTGGTATGTACACCGTATGGAAGCGTTTCAGCATTAGGACGCAATTTTCGGGAACACCCAAAAACTGCTTGGTCGCCAATGTGTTAAAGATAGGGAGGGCGATCGAATGGGAGTGTTGACACAGCTTGTACTCGTAATGATGAAGCGTTTCACTAGCATTCACTGCAATAATTGCAGAGATTGCATTGTGATGTGATAGATCTATTTTTTGGTGGCATCCACGATCCCTCCTTCTATAATAGATACGAATACACTCATACGTTGGATACATATACATGTATTACTCTACTTTCGAATTTGGTAGGAGGGTGTTATTTGATAGTTAGCGAAGTCAAAAGGAGAAAAGAGCTAGCATTTTTAAAAGTTGAAGGGTCGGATTGCTGGGCTTGTCACGGGGTTTGCTTAACGAATGATTTTTGACTCCTGCCAAGCCCGCCCCCCCCCCCCCCCACCCCCCCCACCCCCCCCCCCCCCCGCCGGCTCGACTGCGCAAGGCAGTGGAAAAATGGTGTGTAGCATTGTCTCGGAATCAAAATGCTTAGAATAGGGTGATGGGGAATAGTGGTCGAAGACCTGTAATGGGGGTCCTCATATCAATGGTGGTGGTGTGGCGTCGAGGTTTCTATTGGGAGAGAAGAGGAAGTCACGTTTTCGTGTAAAAGTACCATCGGCTCGGGTTAAATCGTGACTGGTACAAAACCGCGCCTACAGCACTTCTACGCTACATTTATAATGGCACCAATCGACATTCAACGACGTAAGCAAACCAGCCCTTTTGGCGTTTCGGCTGGGACCGTATGCTGAATGTTGGGGAGGGGATGGGGTCCCCAACGGTCGACGGTTTACTTCAACTCGGTTGGTACGATAGGAGAGTACTGACGCAAGTGGTGCAGCTGGTCCAGCAGCTCCGCCAGAAGGGCTGGTTTGCTCACCCCAGGACTAAGCCTTGGAGAGGGGACGGACCCGTCCTCTCTTTAAGGCTTAGTTCTGAGGTAAGCACCAAATTGTGGCGGTTCTAAGGACCGAGTTGAAGTGGTCCGTCCACCGTCGGGGACTCCATCCCCTCCCCAACATTCAGCATACGGTCCCAGCCGAAGCGCCAAAAGGGCTGGTTTGCTTACGTCTGTTAACTCTGTTAGCGCTGTCACAAAGTACCATATGGGCATTTCTTCACTCTATGCGGGAGCATCAATTTGCTCTTGAGCTGTTTTTCTGCAGAGGGTTTTTTCTCATTGGTCGGGGAAAATTTTTAACTTTCTGTACTTTTTTTCCCTCTTAGCTAATCGTATTTCAGCAACCACTCCTTCGATGTTCAAGTTCGCGAACATCACTGGAAGTTTGTTAGGTATCTCTGTCAGAAGCGGTATTCCGCCATCAGTCGATAACGTCATATCTTCATCGAACGATTATGGATTCGATTTTCAGGTATCTATTGATCGAATTGAAAATTGGGCAGATGAGGGATTCAAAATAATTTCTTACTACAAACTTCCATGCAGACTTCTTTGTAGACGCTTGGTTCACCATCGCATCACTCACTTAGCTCGTTTCAGACCCCCGTCAGCGTTCGAATAGTCAACTCCTCAGCACTGAACAACGAGAAGACCGGTTTTCGGATATCCTCCAAGGTATTCGCCCGCTCTGATCGTCCGTGATTAGTACTACTCTCGCGAGGGGGTACTACTCATGAGCCTATTCAGTACCGGTATCGATTGTGTGCACTTGTGTCACTCACACACGCACACAACACCGTAGAATTTCGTTGGCACCGCGCCAAAACAGAAGGAGCATGGAATAGAATTTTTCACTGTGTTTTGTCTGCACATATGACTATTTTTTGAAAATGAATGGAGCACTTTAATAAATGTTTGCGGTCGTATCTCACAGTGTTCAAGTACTGTATAAAGAGTTTTGGTGTTGTGACTCATCTCCTCAAATGCTGGAGAAGAAAACTATGCATCGCGCTAAGCATAATTGGAAGATCATAGGCGAATTCCTTGCACTTGAATGTGGTCAAAGAAGGGCATCGGTACTAGGGACCACAAAGGTCAGCGACCTCCATTTCGCCTGTGAACTAAATAGGTGAAGGATGAACCGTCCGGCGTGGACCAATTACTTGCTGAGCTGCGCCACGCCTTCCGTCCTTTCACTTTTGTAGTAGCATTAGAATCCAGGATGTTGCTTGTAACTGGGATGACCGAGCCACATGTAGGTCAGCGTTTCCATTTTCTATTAGGTTGGAAGGAAAGTTCCTTAACACTTGTAGCTCAATTTTTGAATTTATTTTTTTTATTCTTTATTTATTCAATGATCCATAACATATTGACCATTAGATACAACAACACTACGCCAACCTTCGGGCATTTGGGTGACACCGCAGAAATTAGAAATTAGGAAGATTTTTGCCAAACAACCTTCTGGTGTCGGATTTGCGCTCGTTTACGTCGTCGAGCTTCCTGTTCTCCAGGTAATGAGCAAGCGAGCAGGAAAGGTTGAAGAGGTGTATAGATAGGTTTGACGAATATGGCAGACGGGCAGCCGCGGTCCTGCCTGGCTTCAGAGTCTTGTGGCTTGAGACCGAACACCCGCGACGTTGCGCGTTGTCGTGAAGCAGGTTGACTTGTCGCTATATTCGGCGAAGCTCTTCTGCAATCTTTTCGAGCAGCTAGCATTGTGAAGCCCTTGTACTCGTCAATCCTCCAGACAGATCATCACCCGTGGGAAATACCGTCAAACGTCAAAATGGGCAGTAGTCGTGTGTTGCGTCAGAAAGATCAAAGTCTTCGCTGCGGAGCGTTTAAACCAAGCCGAAACCGCCATGTGAGAGAACGTGCCCAGGCCTATCCCGGGACTGATCCTGACCACCTCTGGTGGGCAGATCTCTCTAGGCGGAGCTCTTACAGAATGAGCGCTCGGAGTGTCTGGCGGGAAAAGTTGATTTAGTGCCATGCAAACGCCATTATTGGGAAAGCTGATTTGATCACCGTACGTAGCACGGTCCACTCCTACTATATACCACCCATGGAAGATTCCAGAGCATTCGGGAGAAATCCAGAAAGAGCGCGAATTGAGTGTTAAGGAACTTTCCTTCCAACCTAATAGAAAAGAAAACACCGTTTAACAGTTCTCGGAGGATGGAAGACTTGGTTGGCTTGGAGAGCAGAACAACAACCACGCGAGTGGTGTGCAGCAGGGTCAACCGTCACGTTCGAACATTTTCGGGATTTTTGCGACCCCCTAGCTCTCGAGGGGGTCCAGTTGCGACCCCCTGTTTTTGTTAATAAGAGTGCTAGACATGAATCCGTTGCGCCAGAAAGCGTCTGCGCCGCCGCCGCAGAAGCGTCTGCATTGCGGCGTCAGCCTTGGAGCGCGGCAGGTATCACCCGGGCGCTGGAAGAACGGGACGCGGCGAAGAAAATTTTAGAGGGGAATAACTTTCTTGGGACGTACTTTTTTGACTTGTTGAGGTAGTTTTGATTGTGCGCTTCCAGAAAACTACAAGGATTGCCTAACTCTCCGGAAAGTACTTCTGTTAGAAGTGGAAAACCCAAAATTCTAAGAAGGCACCTTCAACTTTGAAGGCCATAAAATCTTTCGTATGCGACATTTTGGAAATCTGTAAAAAGTTTCAGAAACTTCAAATATTTCTCTAACAAAACAGTATAAAAAGTTTAGTGATTGTCCCCTTTTTCAAAAAATTGTCCCGTTCGAACATTTTTCGTGCAAAAGCGAGTTTTTGGGCTTTCAGCGACCATAACTCACTTCATTTTCATTTCTGTGATGCACTTTTTTCATGGGGTGAAAGTACAGGATTTGCTCTTTCTGACAAGCACCAAACCGTTTTTCAAAATCCATTTTCCGAGAAAAATCACACGTTCGAACATTTTGTTCCCATAGGTTTTTGAGCAGCACATGCGAGTTTTTGAGCTTTCAGCAATAATAACTTCCTTCAAAGAGCTTGTTGGGGAGGGGCGAAAGACATTTTTGAAGACTACGAGATTTACGCTTACTCATGTATATTACAGTTCTCTAGAAGAAGAAGCGTCCCCAAAAAATTAGGTCTTTGAAGAACTTTATTTTCAGCCCCGAGAAGTCAAACCTTTCATAAGGATGCATTCAACACTTCTTTACTGCGTAGGAAAACACCGTAATTTGCCTAAAACTGTCTCTCTGTGCATAATAATCGAATCTAATGCGGTCTGCACAAGCAAGTCTTGCCCTCGGATACGCCACGCACGCGCCTGTGGCTGGCAGTCCTCGAAATTGCGACCCCCTTCCGACCAAAATGCGACCCCTTCGTTCGAACAGTTCGAACGGACGGTTGACCCTGGTGGGCAGAGCTGTCTTCGCTACACTTCTGCCCATCTACATGGCGTCGCCTAATGCTACAGCCACCTACAATTTGTTCAAAATCTTCATTCCATAAAAGTTCGGGAAAATTGTTCAAGGTGAAAAATGTGTCAAATTTGATCGCAAATTCGAAAATCAACACAAAATTTCAGGTTGAAAATGCGAAAATTTTTCTTTGCTAATTTTTCACGAAGGGTCGCTTTTCCAACGTCTCCAAATGATACAGCCACCCCGTGTTTTTTCGTTGTATTTCATTTTTGCTTGATGAAATTGATTGGTAGTCATCAATTTTCTTTTTCTAGGTTATCACAAAAGGAAAGCAGTTGTTGGATTTGAAAAAGGGCAAATGGTCGCAAAAAAAAGAAAGAGTAAGCGCCAGTGGTCACATTGCGCGGAAGTTAGTCGAAGCTACAAATGATAAACAATTTCTTCTTGCATGCCGAAGGAAATAAAGCTGAAAAGGGCTCTGAAAGCTCTCTTTGCTTTTTGATCAAGATTAATGCGGAGCTATGAAAATAACATCCGATTTCATCGAGCCGTGCTGAATTAGAGTTTTCTTCCGAAGTTTATGATAGTGAATAGTGCTTGATAAGTGGTGAAAGAGCTTTTCGCGTCAGCTCTCGAGCGAGAAGCGAAAACAGCAGTGTTTCTAAAATGAAACTGTAACAAGTTCCGAGACATTTTTGCGAGGAAAGAGTTTGGCTGGCTGTATAATTAGGAGACGCACTGTATGAATTATTCGGAGGAATATATGAGAGCTGACCATAGCACATCGAGTCCTTAATAACACTATTGACCTCAGTTGTCATTAGTCCTTTGAAGGCATGCCCCAGGATCAAATTGGTGTGGTTCTTGCACATGAATGCGAATTTGGTGTGAGCTGGGTCGGCAGTAAAGAAAAAAGTCTGCAGCTCCAACAGCTTACTTTGCAAGGCTCTTGTGCGTTGTCGGTTTGATGTTCCATGGGGCGGTAATGCCACAGCTATGATTGGGCCGTCCAGGGCGCGTCGCAGACGCGAAGGAATCGGTCAACATCTTGACGACCGACTGCTGGTAGGAGGCCGCTGCGCGAGCGTTCTAGCTTTTCCTCCCCTGTCCTTTCATGTTCTCTGCCACAGAAAGAAGTGTGCCCTGGGCGGCCACGAATCAGGCGAGAATAGAGACAAAATGGTAGAATAGAATGCAATAGACAAGAGAAATGTTACTGTCATAGCTGGAAAAGGCCAGGAGCTCCTAGTGAGGAACTCAAGGCTAACAAAGTGCAAACGTTCTGCCGGCATAATTTTGACAGATACGGCGGGAATTGAAACATGACTGTCCTTCGGGTTCTTCGAACTTCAAAGGAAAGTAAACACACTCTTTTGTTCCTATTCCTTCTTATCGTGAATGATGGGTCTCAAGCCAGTGATCTGTGGGTGAAATCGAATCATGGTTTTAACGTGAACGATTCCTTAAATTCTGATCCAGCACGCAGAGCTCCTTTTACCAAGCTGATAGAATGAAGATCGTTGAAATCAATGGTTAGAGACGCACGCTGTTCTCACACGCGACCTTACCTAGGTCGAACCTCATTCAGTCCAATTGATCTTTCCCTCGCTTTGAAATCACCTAATCTATGCAAGAATATATATATATAATATATAAATTACTTTAATTAATTCAATGAAGTTTGCAATTTTGATGATTAAAATAAATTTCTATTTGTTATATATTATGTGGGGTAGAACAAAGAGTAGTCTAGTTTCCGTTTCGCACGTGCCCTTAGACGGAAACTAGACAAATAGTGTGTCCTCCCTTAGTGCTCATCAGTAAGGGGAAGGAGGAGTAAGGATTAGAGTGCGTATTATAATAATTTTATATATGGATATTATTGACTAATTTATGTTTATGTTTTTCGAATTTTGTTTATGTTTTTCGAATTTAAGAAGAATGTTTGTCAATGAAGATGGAAACATTAACTTGCATGGTCGCTATTCCTCACATAAGAATGCGAATGCATAAAATGGGTGCCAAAAAAGAAAAGGATTGATAGGAAGATTTGATAAGAAAAGATTGATCGCCTGCAAATTAATTAGCGTAAGACGGACCAGCTTAATGCTTGCAATCCAGCTGTTCTTCATGCTACAAAACATTTCTGTTGAGCCGGCAATAAATTGGGGTTCTTCCATCCAATCGATACTACTATAAATATATAGATATACCTTTCTCTCAAGTCTGCATTAGGCTGATCCCAACCGGAAAGTGATCATCAAATAATTAGGCAGTTTCGGCGACGAAAAGCATACTATAGATTCCTACAAACTGC